GGGGGGGGCGGAGGGCAGGCAGCTCCAAGGCAAAGGGCAGGAGATGCGCAGCAGTAGGGAGAGGGGCAGCTGAAGTGCTGGCACTTAACAGCCTCTTGGCCAAACCAGCCAGGATCCCCATCAGAGGCTCCAAGATCGACCAGTAGATCCCGATCGACTGGTTGGTGACCACTGTGCTAGGACAATGGGATGTGCCTGGAGGGGGGGGCGGAGGGCAGGCAGCTCCAAGGCAAAGGGCAGGAGATGCGCAGCAGTAGGGAGAGGGGCAGCTGAAGTGCTGGCACTTAACAGCCTCTTGGCCAAACCAGCCAGGATCCCCATCAGAGGCTCCAAGATCGACCAGTAGATCCCGATCGACTGGTTGGTGACCACTGTGCTAGGACAATGGGATGTGCCTGGAATGGGACTGCGTCTCGTGCCAACCACACGGAAAAGAGGCAGAATCCCCAGGCACATGAAAGGGGCTAGCTGGGGGTGCCCCCCTCCCCTGGTCTGGGACTGCCCCCGCCCTGAGCCTCCCAACCTCCAGGTGCCCATTAGGGAGGGCAGGGGGGCTGAATCCCTTCCCCCCAAATCCTACGGGACATTGCTGGCTGGTCCCCCTTTGTCAGGGAACGAGGGGGAAGTGCAAGGGGAAAGCGCCCAGCTTGCTGCATTCCGCACTGGCTGGGGAGCGCGGGGGCAGACTGGCTGCGCACTTGGCTCTCGCTCCCTGACAGGGACCGGAAGGGGAAAGGGAAGCAGCCCCGGGGGAAGGGGAGTTCCAGGTCAGAGTGCTAGTGTCTGTGGGATTCGAATATCGGTTCCCGCGGCGACCAATCGCGATTAATATTTTCAGTCACTTGACAGCTCCGATTATCAGCTCTGCCTGGCAGGGCTGGTCAGACTGGCTGCGCACTTGGCTCTCGCTCCCTGACAGGGACCGGAAGGGGAAAGGGAAGCAGCCCCGGGGGAAGGGGAGTTCCAGGTCAGAGTGCTAGTGTCTGTGGGATTCGAATATCGGTTCCCGCGGCGACCAATCGCGATTAATATTTTCAGTCACTTGACAGCTCCGATTATCAGCTCTGCCTGGCAGGGCTGGTCCCCTGTGTTCGCCCCACAGGTCTATGCTGCCCCCAAGCCCAAGTGGACCCAGCTGTCCGGAAGGAAGCTGCAGAACTGGGGTGAGTTCTCTGCGTCCCTGTGGCGGGCACCCAGGTGACCCCAGGGGCTGGGGAATTGGCTCCCACCCGGGGTCTAGTCGGGGTCGGTCAGGATCAGAAGGCGTCCGCTTTGGAAGCCAGGCAGAGCAGCCGGCCTCAGGGCGGGGAGGCGTGTGCTTTGGCTGGGGAACAGCCGGGACTCGCCGTCTGCAGAGCTGAGGGGACGTGTACAGCGACCCTGCCTCGGTTTCCCCAATCTCACGCCACTCCCTGGCAGGCGAGGCTCCCTCCAGCGTGGGTATTTCAGCCCCTTTCCTCCAGGGCCAGGTTTGTTGCTCGAGGCCTGCCCCACAGGTAACCCAGGCCCCTCCTCCGTCCCAGGCTGCCGGGGGCTGCCCTCAGTCAGGTCTTCCCGTTAGCGGGAGAGTCTCCCTGAGCCCAGCCCCCTCCAGGGGACCCCGGGACCCAGACTCCTCCCCCAGTGTTGCTCCAGAGGGGACTCCTTGCTGCCGCTTGTCCGGGGCTTAATCAGCTTCCCGGCAAAACGCCTCTGCCCCCCAGGTTTAAGCATGGTGTGGTCTGGGAGCACAGCCGTCCTGTCCATAAGATGGTTCGGGGCGGCTGCCCTAGGCCCCACACTTTGTGGTGCCCCCGTGACGGCACGTCGGGGAGCCCCAGACCCTGCACCCTCATCCACAGCCAGGTGTGACTCTCCGCAGCCAGTAGAATAGAAGGTTTTATTGCTTCTCAGATCTACAGCATAGCCGCAGACTCCATGTTCCATAGGAGCCAGGGCAGACAGCCTAGCCCTTGTGGGGGAAAGGGTTCACAGGCCTCTGAACCCCCCTGGACAGGACTTAGTCTGCTCGCTTCATGCTTCCCCCCGCCAAGACTGCCCCAGCCCCCAGCAACCATGCCCCTTGCTTTGTTCAGGTAGCCTCCACCTAGCCCAGGTGGCAAGTGGCTGGGTCAAGGGGGCCTCCCCTCAGGGACCATCCCCCCCACGGGGCACTGCGCACAGACACACACTGCGTCTCTGCAGACCAGCTAGGGCAGTAGGGGTCACACCCAGCACAACACAGCAACCGGAGTGGATCCAGGACCATAAGAGTGAACAGCCCCCCCACTATGTCACACCCCCATAGCAACCACCTCCAAAATCCTATAGACGGGCGGCCCGGGGCATTATCTATGGGGAGGGGGCTGGTGTGGGGTGGCAGCCGGCAGCCGGGTAACATTTAATTCGCATATTTCGCCGGAGCTGGTAAATCCTGGCGAGCGGCCAGTAGGGGGCGACTCCGCCCAGCAGGGCGGGTGGGGGTGTCACACAACACCTTCCTCCCTGGATCTCTGGGCCCTGACGGGTCCCTCCCGACGCCGGCTCCCCTCTGTATTCTCTGCCTCCCAGGAGGGCTGCCCCACCCCAAAGGGATGGTCCCGGAGAAGATGCCAGCCTGGCTGCAGAGCTACGCTGAGAAAGTCTCCGTCCTCGGCGCCTTTGGAGGGAAACTGGCCAACCACGTACTAGTGAACGAATACCTCCCCGGGCAGGGGATCATGGTAACGCCACTCGCCGGCTGCCTCGAGACTCGACTTCAGGGCGGCTTCCCCAGCCTGGGGCAGCCTCCGAGACTCACCTGATCAGCATCTGGGGGGCAAACCCTACTGCAGAGGGGCAGAGTCCAGAGAGCCAAAACGGGGCTCTCCCAGGAGTGTCCTGGTTAGTGAGGGGGTGGGAAGGAGGGCCTGGGAGCCAGGATTCTATCCCTGGCTCTGGCGGGGGACTGATACCTAGTAGTTAGATCCGAGGGCTGGGAATCAGGGCTCCTGGGTTCGTCCCCGGCTCTGGGTGGGAAGTGGGGTTTAGTGGCTAGACTTGGGGGGGTTCTGTGTCTGGATTCCTGGCTGCCATTGTCCTCTTACCTTTCCATAGGCCCAATGTTCCTTCTAATCTTTTCCATCCATGTGCGGAATAAAATGTGTTGTATGCACCAAGGCCTGTGCGAATGTGCACCGCCAGTAGAAACAAAACCCAGCTATGGGGGCTCTGCTAATCAGCTGGGCAGCATTGAAATCTCTCCTGAGTGGCTGTACAAGCGCCCAGCTTACCGGGACCCCTGGAGCCTTCAGATTGCTTCCCAGCCATGTTTCTATCTCGGGTGTGGAGCACGGCACCAGTGACATGAGCCCAGGGCACGTACACCCCTGCGCTCACTCCCGGCTTTGCCTTGTGCGCTGGCGGGGAAGGCTGGCATGTCAGGCAGGCATCTGCTCCGCAGCGGGGCCTGTGTGTGATGGGTTGGCACCCTGGTCTTTGGTGTGTAGATCCGTGTTCCACGCTGGGTGCTGAGAGGAGAGCCGGGGTGGGGGGAGAGGGGCTGGAGAGAGATCCTCCTGTGTTTGTGTTTCGTCTGATACCTTGGCTCCCCCTAGCCACATGAAGACGGGCCTCTGTACTTCCCTACCGTCACCACCATCAGCCTGGGATCGCACACGCTGCTGGACTTCTACCGTCCGGTCAGCAGAGGGCAGCAGGCGGCCAGCGAGCAGGTGAGCCAGAAAGAATTGCAAGCAGCCGCCGGAACATCCCATTTTATTTTCTCCCCTCTGGGTTTGGTGGCAGTTCTGAAAAATAAAAACAAATCGGTTTGGGTCGGGGCATTTCCTGCTGCTCGGAGATGAATCAGAAAGTTTGGTTGGGGTTTGCTCCCAAGCGGGAATTTGTACCGGGTCCCTTCCGGGCTGAAACCCCCGAGCTGGGCATGGTGTGGGGTGCGAAGGCTAGTAACAGCAGGAGCTGCACAAACGCAGAACAGAAAGGCCTCCCCTGCCCCATAGAACTGCTCTCCTTCCTACCGGGAGTGGAGGCGTAAATTGCCTTCTCCCTCTCCCCTACCCCAAATTTATGACTGGCCAAAATGACCAAATTGGCAAATAGTTTGGCATTGGCCAAAATCACATCTTTCATTGAATCAACTAATGGTCTGAGATGGTTTGCCCGGCTGTGCTACAGTTCACAAGACGGTGTGCCCGAAAGGGAATCACACGGTCCCTGAGATCCGCACCTCTGAAAGGGAGCTGAGAAAATAACACCACTTCTGTTTGTACTTCGTGTCACCATTTCTCTCTCTCTTTTTTTTTTTTTTTAAATGGATGAGTCAGTGTCATTTTTTTTGTCCTGTCAAGGCCTGTGGCGGAGCAGAGAAGAAGGGTGGCTGAGTGGTTAGGGAGCTACATGGGGATTTTGGAGTCCTGGGTTTGAGTCCCTGCTCTGCTAGTGCCATCTTTTATGACCTTGGGCAAGTCACTTAGCCTCCCTGGGCCTCCGGTCCGTAAGGTGGAGATCTTTATATTACAGTAGCGTCTCAGAGCCCTAATTCTGATCAGGAACCCACCTTGTGCAAAGGGCTTCACAAACGCAGAACAGAAAGGCCTCCCCTGCCCCGACAGAACTGCTCTACTTCCTACCGAGGGTGGAGGGGTAAATCCATTGCCGACAGCCAGACACTCAGCCGGTGCCCATCACTGTGGTCTCTGATGGAGCAAGTTCCTGCCCTTCTTAATCTGGGGTCCAGATCTGTGGGGCGGCTGCAGACAGACCTGGCTTCCCCCTGAGCATGCGCTGCTGTCCGTCCCCAGGTGGCTGCGCCCCAGACGGCGGAGCAACGCCACTTCTTGTCCCTGCTGCTGGAGCCGCGCAGCCTCCTGGTCCTGCGCGAGGACATGTACGTCCGGTACCTGCATGGGATCCAGCCCACCACCTCCGACGCCGTCACGCAGAAGGTGGCCAACGCGGCAGCCTGTGGCGCGGGGCTTGGGGATGAGCTGCGCCGGGGAACCCGGGTCTCACTCACCATCCGCCACGTCCCCAAGGTGCTGAAAACGGCCATCTTCCTGGGCAGAGGGAAGTGAGGGGAGGAGTTTGCCCCCTCGCCCGCTTCTGGGCTGAGAACCCTGCTGTGAAACATGCAATTAACGAGGGGCAGGGTGGCCCCGCCGAGACCCCTCTCGCTGCGCATGGGGAGGACGGAGAGAGCCGGCCCGCAGGAGGCGAGAAGAGGAGCCGTGGGGGGCGCAGAGCCTTGGACAGGATGCAGCATGGCCTAGTGCTTAGAGCCGGAGGGCAGCGTGTAATGGAGTCCTGGCTCAGGGAGGGGTGTGGGGTCTAGTGGTTAGATGAGACCTCCTGGGTTCTGTTTCCAGGAGGGAGTGGTCGGAGCAGGCGATCGGAAGCCAGGACTTCTGGTTTCCGACTGCCCAGTGTTGCGGCTGCTTCACTGTGCGACCGTAAGGGACTCTGCCGTTGCCGCTCAGTGCCTCAGTTTCCCTGTTGTGCAGGGGTGGCTCTCTGTTTGCAAAGCCCTCTGAGCACTGCAGAAGTGTGCAGCCCACTCGCCTCCTGGTGCCGCCCGTCAGACACGTTCACGTGAAACACCAATAAAGGGCTTGGCCGTGACTCTCCACCCACAAGTGTTGTACTTTCCGAGCTGGCCCCGAGCTCTGGCTGATGGAAGAACTGGGGTAGGGAGCGGCTCCGGCTCGGCAGGGGGTTAGTGCCTCCAGAAGGAGGCGAGGAGGCTGACGGGGGTGCACTGGGGGACCCAGCACGGAAGCCAGGAACACCAGCTACTGTTCTATTGCTGACACTGGGAGGAGAGCGGGGTCTAGTGGTTAGAGCAGCAGGGGAAAAGGGTCAGGGCCCCTGGGCTCTATAAGCCTGGCTCTGAAAAGAGCATGCTCAGAGCCCGGGAGTCAGGACACCTGGGTTAAGTCAGGGCGTTGCTGTATGCCTCAGTTTCCCCATCAGTAAAAGGGGAGAAATGTCCTACACCTCCCCTCCCCCTGAGGGGCTTAATTCACAAGCACAGGTGAAGCGCCGGGAGAGCCCCGATGGCAGGTGCTGAAATGCACAGCGTGGCTGTCATGGCCAGCTCCTGCGGCAAGCGGGGGGGGGGGGGGCGCCAGGGGGCGCCAGTTGGTGGGAATAGGCCATTGCCCCCCTGGATATTGATTTCACCCTGTGGGAGTCGGGCCTTCGTCACATGCATCGGAGGGAAGGTGGTAGAGGGGCTAAGAGCCTGGCTGGGCACCGCCCCCTTGGTTCTGCGCTCCGGCTGTGGTGTGCACCGGCCGTGGGAAAACCGCGGGGCTGGCGTGGGGCATCGCAGTGCCGCAGCCGCCTCTCCTGGCTCGGGGCAAGAAGAACAGGAGGCAGCAGGGCTCGAAGAGATGGCGGGGGAGGGAGGGGATCGCTCACAGACTTTCCCCCGCTCTGTACATACGGCAGAGCCAGCTCTGGGAGGGAGCCTGGCTGGTCCTGCATTCGAGTCCTAGCTCTGCCCCTGTCTTTGTTTCCCTGGGCTACAGCACTTAGCCGCTCCATGCCTCAGTTTCCCCATCTGTAAAATAGCACAGTGCTTCCCTGAGCTTATGGAAAGGGTCTATAATGGTCAGAATTTCCCAGCCTTCAAGCCATACTGGGAGACCCATCCTGCCTCTGAGAGGCTGGGGGGCGGGTCCCCGCCGGGGGGGGGG